TTCATGGAGGTTTTTATCAACTATCAAATATGTATACTTTGTGCATACATTTTATATTCATGAGGGTGTATCAATGTAATGTGGCTTAATAATACAAACATTTTGCATTATAACACAACAGCATGCACTTAAAATGCAGAATAAATAACAACTAAGTGTATCTTTATTAATTGGTAAAAGTACAAATGAAATAGCATTGATTAATAAGTAAATAAATAAATAAATGTCAGGTCACTGGGTAAATTGTACCCATGCACTGCACCAGATTGGTACTTGAGTGACCCAGGTGTCCATTAGGTTTGCTCAGGTGTCCCCACTATGACCTCACCTGCCACCATTACTCATCCCAGGTGACCCTCTGCAGCCAAACTCACACAAGTGCCCGTCTGATATGACCCTGCAGCGATGGTGTGATCAGCTCAAATGCCACACTGACCTTCGCTGACCAAAAAGTCACTTTAAAGTGGAGGTGCTGTATAACACACGCCAGCACAAATGAGACAAATGATTTCTAGTCTGGTCTCTCCTGTCATGTTGTGAAGCTGAATGGATGATAACTGGGGCAACAAAGGGGAAAAATACCCCTCTATTTTTAGGTTTATCAATAAACGTCAGACTATTGATTTTGATCTTGTCCCTTCCTACCGAGAGCTAGTGGGGGGGAAAACTGATGTACTTTATTTACTTCGATACCTATGTACATTTTTAGCCTCAGTTTTTCTGAGTTTTGAGGACAAATAACATAGATTTTTTACTGTATGAAAGCACATGTAAGAAGCAGTCAAAGTCTTTATTGTCAGTGTGCAACAGTATCACCTAGGCACCATACATCGCTATTACAACATTACCGTCCTTTTCTTTTTGGCAAATCATGCAAACTTGCATTTTTCCTCCTGAGCATCACATGACTGGGAAACACTTCCAACTGATTTTGAGGTTCATCAAACCCATGGTGGACTGTTGTGTGCCTGATGTATGTGCTTTATGTATTCAAATAGATTAGTGTGGGCCACATATGATGTTTATCATCATCTGTTTTATATGCCATCAGTTTTAATTGGGCTTCTTTTCTCATTTATACTCTAGAATGAGCTTGGATGTTGCTGTGTGATTTTTCTTGTTTCATTTTTAACATCAATTTGTTTACATTGCATGTTACAATTGTAGCTGCTCCAGGTGGAGCTAGAGGCTTACTTTATGCACAGTTGAGTGGTTGAGTTCAGAGGATCACATGATAAACCTGGTGGGTTGTGAGGAGAAATGTGCAGTATTATGTAATTTAAAAACA